AACTGACTGATATTTTATTAGAGAACGTTTATCATTATAATAATGTTCCTTGTTCATATATTGGGTGTCCATTTTGTAGACATTGATTAGGGGTGGGGGCGGGGGGTACCGAATGGATAGCGCGTGCTCGCTGTATCATAACGTTAAACTCTCTCTCTCTCTCTTTCTCTCTCTCAGCATTGATTATTGAAATCGTATTAGTTCTAATCAGAGTATTGTTGCTTGTTTTTTTTTATGGATAATAAGGCATCCACTTTTTTCTATAGTGCAGATTGGTCAAATTAAGTTTTACTGTCGTATTGTATAATGTTTCAATTTGCTATAATTGTAGCATTTGCTTAAAGTGAGATGAGTAAATTTCTCACGACTTAATTAATTTGGGTAAATAAAAATGGCGACCGTACGGAGAGAGAGAGAGAGAGAGAGAGAGAGTCTTCATTTGCCCAGTAGGAGCAGTACACATTGGCATGAACGTAAAAAAACCCTCTACAGTTGGATTTCGAATTCGAACCAGAGACCTAGCTAGCGATCCAGTGTCTTACTCACTGAGCCACCACGGTTCCTTCGACACGAACTAGGTCATTTCGGGACTAACATATGGTTAATTCGTTTGCCTGGATAGGGATCTTTTAGCAGTGGGAGGAAACCGGGGGCCCGGAGAAAACCCCAAGGTGACTGTATCGAAACCAATTACATTAGGAGAACCATAGATCAATGGAATCTTAGGACAGATATTCCTGTTAGAGAGATTCCACTTGTCAATGGTGCAGGGCGGAGCACCTGACAAGTTCGGATGGGACGACAAACCGAGGTCCCGTGTATACATTGGCGTGTACGTAAAAGATCCCGTGGCAGTTGGCATTCGGTAAAAGAGTGGGCCATGGTGCCGCTGCCCGGGCAAAATTGCCCTCATCGCACACTGTATGGAGTATGCCCGTCTTCATTATCCCAGTCGGAGCAGAACTGTAAGACGTAAAACCCCATTTCATTTCATTTCATTTCTGTTACAGAGAGATTCAACTTGCACAATATTATATTTTGCAAGGGATTTTTTTTATATACCGTTAAAAGCACGCGTGTTTTTTTCTTTAATAAATATATATTTTGAGAATCCTGTTCGTAGTACTCAGTGGTCTGATATAGGTCAAGTCGATCTTTAGCACCTACAGATATATAACACTAGCATTAATAATTATATTTATAAATTCTTCCTCTTATCAAATCAATCCTAATTCGTCGTCACGATTCGTGCTTGTTTATATTAATGCAACTCTTACTTGACTTGGCCAACGATACTGGATAACCAACTACATAAAAAAAACTCCCGGTTACGCATGGCCAATGGAACTTTTCGTCAAATATTGACAACGGTCCCAAACCACCCGTACGTTGAGAACTCAAATACTGCTTTTAATAAGAAAGATGTTTAAATTTTAGCACAAAAGGCCCATGGACCTGAGATGCACCGCTGTACATAAAGCAGCATGTATACTTCAAGGGCCATCATTTTTGCAGTTATTCTTTGATTTTGATTTTCTTTCACCGGTATGTAGCCAGAACATATGGGAAGCATATAAAAAGAAAGGCCTTTTGGTGATTACGTGTGTGAGTTAGTTGTATTTTACGTCCGCTTCCACCGAGGTGATATCGCAGACAATGGTGATACCTGAAGTTTCACCTCTATATAGGACACAGCTCACCAAATATATCTACGCCGTCGCCGACGAAACAAGGGTCCAAGCTATTTTTAGTCTTTCTTTCCCATTTCTGTTTTCTTTATTTTGCATGTCGACTTTTGTTGACATTTTGGTGTAGAATCGAAGAAAAGGGTTTGAAAATACATTTTCTGTCAGGTTTTGGAGAATATTCATGATTTTGAGGCTAAAGGATACAAGAGTTGAAAGGTTGGTTAGGTTCACATGTAGGGCCGAAAATTGCATGTTTACTAGCCTTGTCTCTACTTCCAGCTTGTGTATCTCAAGTTTTTCATGAAGAACCTCATAAGTGCTTTTGGGCAAGAGGTTGCCACATGTTGCTCCATCTGTGGTAGAAAGCGTCCTACTTAACGAAAACGAAAATTTGGGAAAAAGTTAGAGCCGGTCTAAGAGACGAGAATTAACATTAAAGTCAATGGGAAAATCATTGGTGATCTGTGGCCCCTAATGTATCTGAAGGGGGTTAACTTTTTATTTGACATATTTTTTTATTATAATAATGCAATAAAACACAAATGTTGTTCTTTTATATATTTAAGAAATAAAAATCTAAACATGATCTACATTTTCCACAGTAGATAGACTAAAAGCAATTCACGACTGAACGGAATGAACACCCGCTAACCCATCGTACAAACTTCCTATAGAGACCTGGCTTATTGAGACTACGGTTATGCTATCAAAATTCGCCAGGAGTATGAAATTACACGAATTATTTATCCTATTGTACAGTAATCCAAATATATTATGAATAAAGATCGTTAAGCAAGACAGATTATTGATCTCGTTCATATTGCTGCATACCATAGCCCACACAGTAGTTTGTTCGCCTTAAAACGTTAGATACAGACTTTGCGTAGATGCATCAAAATTATATTTCTACCTAAGCATTAAATCATAAAAATGCAGTTTTAGGTTTGATTACATTGAAAAATAACTAAAAGACATCTGGAATTCTAGCACAAACCACGACTCTATGTTTGTCTTGTCCATGGAACTTGGCATACAAATACATTTGCAAAACTTTTAAATGATACTTTTTATAATGAAATACATCCATCAATGGTTCATTTGAAAACGCATAATACAAATTATGTACTACTAAATTCTATGGGGTGGTAATCAAAGACATAATAATAGGCGGACCTCCTAAAAGGGACATTATCAAAATAATGATACAGAATAATGAAATACTAACAGGTATCCATTGAAAGAGTAAGCTTACAAAGAAACAAAACAGAATACAATCATACTCTATAATATCACTAAGGAAAACAACAATAATAGGTTGCCAGACAACGTAACATACACCCACAGCAACTAAATAAAGGCCGTAACATTTCTATTTATTTGTAAGTAAGGAACATTTGCAATGTATTATGGGTAACATCCCAAGAAATAATTGAAATGAAATAAAATGGGGTTTAACGTCGTACTATTCTGCTTCTATACTGGGCTAATGAAGCACCCTGCACGTTTCAAGTCAGTAGCTTGAAGCGTATATATGGTATTAGTGTCAGTGGCTTGTGGCACGAAGTAACAGTATATTGTCGCATACATAATATATTATGTCAACGCTTGGGCGACATAATATATTGTGTTGACGCTCCAAGCGTGTTAGCATATTAGACCTGTAGACTCAGTGGAATGTACGCGTCATCAGAGCCATAGAAAGTGTCCCTGTAAATAAAAGAGGGCATCCTTATCAGAAAAAGGGCACCTGTGATGTCAGAATTTCAAAAAAGGGCACTTTTCTTTCGGTTAGGGTTAGGGTTAGGGTTAGGACACAGAAAAGAGAGAAAAAACAGAAAAGAAAAAAACAATCGAAACTAAGCATTCATTGGTTATCAAAGCGCCAATTAAATCTATCGTTGCAAGTTCATGCCTAGTCACCTCCATCCTAGTTCCAAGCGTTGACATAATATATTATATCGCCCAAGCGTTGACATAATATATTATGTATGCGACAATATACTGTTACTTCGTGCCACAGGCCACTGACACTAATACCATATATACGCTTCAAGCTACTGACTTGAAACGTATCGCCTGAATGAAGACGGACATACGCCATACAGTGTGCTATAAGGGAAATTTTGCCCGGGCAGCGGCACTATCGCCTACTCTTATATCGAATTCCAGCGGCCAAGGGATCTTTTACGTGCATTTCAATGTACATACGGGACCTCGGTTTTTCGTCTCATCTGAAAAGGGGAAACCACGTCGGAAAATCAGGATGAACTTATTCGGCCAATGCAGGGATCGAACACCCGACCTCCAGACTAGCGAGCCAGCGTCTTAACCACCTAGACACCGAAGAAATAATTAAAATGCTAACAAAATCAAAACATGTACCGCTAAGCATGTTCGATAAGCATAAGCATGTTACTTCTCTTGAACAGAATTGGTTGATAACTTTAGCATTCAGAAGATTTTGTCATAGTAATCAAAGTCCATAACTCTGACATCAATGATCGTAAAGGATTCTTCGTATAAATGTTAAGAAACCAGATGATAACTTTAAACTGAAGAGTGTCGCTTGCAATGTGGAGGACGGAAAGACGGATGGGTGACGACAGTATACGACTACATTTCATTGTGTGTACAAAATTGGATGCCCACATTTTACAATCCTAAAATATTACTTTTAGCAGATGATCATTGGAAACCTAAACTACATTAGACACCTTAGCTAAATTGGAAACCTAAGCACAGAAGTATGTTGGCCAACCCGTATACTATTACTTATAATAGAGAGAATGTGATAAAACAAACGTCTGAACAAACTCGCTTAAAATGTCTCGTACATAAACTTAGTGTGTCTTTTTAGGTGCATGGAACATCCCCCCTTACACACTATGCGGTGCTTCTATAACTAACGATCAGATTCGGACGCGCATGGTACGGCGTCAACAAACAAGGAAATGTCCGAGGATATATTCCAAGTTAAAAAGAAACTGAGCATTTGGTTATGGTTTCAATTCTTTTTATTCTTACAGGAACACGAAGTGGCACTACCAATATATTACAACACCGATTCCATCTGCTAATGAGCGAATATTTTGAGAAATTGCTGTCCATTGTTTAGACTCAAGAATGATAATAATTTGACGGAATGTAAATTTACCAAGAAAGCACATGGACTTATATCTGATAAATGCATGGTCTTATATCTTATGTTACTAAATCAGTGGTGTATTGAAGTTATAGGTGTACATGCCCTCATTTTCTAACCGAATTCCAGAAAAGAATAGCGAAATAATAAATAAATTGACACTCCCTCTGTTAAAACGTCAGTATATTGTTATTTTCAAGAAATTCCTTGAGCTTTATCTAGTCGAGATTTGATAAAACGATAGGCGATAGAAAATGGTCGTTGTTCCCAGACTTTTCTAGCTTCATCGTCTTCTGTTGGTTCTTCAGATACTAAACGATTGACCAGAACAACACTTATCATAGCCGCTGAAAACAGAAAATAGGTAAATGAGAATGCTGGAAGCAACGCATCATGACGGGAGTAGGCAGGTATACAGCAAGGGGCGGGAGATGGGGATGCCTCCCCATGAAAATGTTCAAATACGCGATTCGCAGAGTGCCCTTGGTAAGGAACACTTTAAAGTAGCTAAGTCTCTAACTCAATATCATCAACAATCTTCGACATTGAAAACACGAATTATATGTCAATTCAAATCAACATTGGTCTTGTGATCTTACAGGGAAAATATGGACTTCTGATATCCAATATTCAAGACAAAATAAACATTTTACCATTGGTACACGAATCGTGTACCATAATGCGTTTCAGCGCCATTTGGAACAAGGGACTCACAGAACCCTCAAACTTACCTTTGTAACCGGCTCGATGACAAAAAGAAAACAAACCAATGGATTCCATTTCTATATTTTTTACGCCTTTTTCTTGGAGAGTCTTAAGGAATGTTTCACGATCATCGTCTGTAAAGTCACACAAAGCACCATCGATACGCCCTTGACCTTAAAAATTCAAAGTAATAATGTAAACGTCGGGTCGAATCGGGCTCATTTTTAAAACATACCATCAAAGAGAAGTAAAATTTATGCAGAAATCAGTTTTTCGCCTAATCACTATTAGTAGCTGATAATATAATGTAGCAAATGTGGCAGAAAGATCTAACCGTACTTGTTCAAAATAGAGCTGAATGGGCGGAGAAAAGATCTCGAGCGCGATCGTGCTGTCCTGAATTCTAGTTGCTTTGGGGGAAGCAGATACAAATTCGATTAATGATTAGATCGTCGCTTAGTTTTAATAATTGCTCTTTTGTGTGCTGGCTGTCTGGCATTCTACTCTATTTTTGCAATGGGAAGTAACGGAAGGACCCAGAGAAAGAAAACCTACAGGGTTAGACAGATGACTTACTCCTTGGGACACACAAACAACTTGACTCAATAACAGACCTTCTGATCTACACGTGTAAAGCACACGCGTTCGATTAATCCCCCCCCCCCCCACACACACACACTGGAGATGAGAAAGGGTGTATTAGTATTATAACATTGATACTCTGAGATTGCTAACCAATCTATTGTTTAAAAAGCGTTAAGAGAACAATTCTCCATCGCTAGTTTACCTTCATAAAAACTGTCCACTGATACAGTCGTTCCTAAGACTGTGTCAAAACTTTCATCTGGAAACAGATTGGCTAACTCTTTAGCAAGATCAGGATCTACATATGTTGGGTGTTCGATTCGTCGACCTAATGTCGTCTGGAAAACATATGTATGCTTTAGTGTTAAATTGATAACTTTTTCATTTAATCAGTAGCCTATATTAAACTGTTCTATAATGACCAAATACCACATTCAAAAACATTATTCTATTTACATCAGCAATCGACCACCACAAGTCACTCAAATATGCTTAGCCATTTGCAGATCTTTGCGTATGGGAATAAATATAGTCTTAAAAAAAGTAGGGGATATTCAGAAACAATACAAAACTGCGGAAATGCACTGCTGTTTTTATTACAGGTAACCAATGTATGTTCATAACAGGCCAATTGCCTACACATGAACATAAACAGTTCATATGGGCGGCTTATCTGACGGTCACATTTCACTCGCAAAGAGATACACTGTCAAAAGTGAAAATGAACGTTTTTGATTTTTGTCTTAATAATGAGTAATTGCTCCACCAATCCTCAGACATTCCGCAATTCGTCGTAGCATGCTCGTAATCAACCGTCCAATCGCGATTTGGGGCAATCTGACCCATTCCTCTTGTAGTGCCACGGCCAATTCTTGCAGTGTTGTCGGTTGATGTTGACGTCGACGTCGACGAACACGTCTCCCGATCATGTCCCAGACATGCTCTATAGGGGAAATGTCAGGACTCGTGGCTGGCCAAGGCATATGGACAATACGGTGACGCTGTAGGTAGTCATTCACGACACGAGCGCGGTGGGCACGGGCATTATCATCTTGAAAGATGAAACGTCGATCTGCCCGTTGAGCAAAGAGTAGACTCGGTACTAAAGTCAACGACTCGACGTGCGGCGACTCGGACTCGAGGTCCCGCGACTTAAATTGTTGCCACCTCTGGGAGCGGCATCCGGTATTGTTCAAAGTGAACATACACCGATTCGTACACTAGTCCCCCCCCCCCGCCCCCCGTCACACACACTAATAGTTAAACTGACTGATATTTTATTAGAGAACGTTTATCATTATAATAATGTTCCTTGTTCATATATTGGGTGTCCATTTTGTAGACATTGATTAGGGGTGGGGGCGGGGGGTACCGAATGGATAGCGCGTGCTCGCTGTATCATAACGTTAAACTCTCTCTCTCTCTCTTTCTCTCTCTCAGCATTGATTATTGAAATCGTATTAGTTCTAATCAGAGTATTGTTGCTTGTTTTTTTTTATGGATAATAAGGCATCCACTTTTTTCTATAGTGCAGATTGGTCAAATTAAGTTTTACTGTCGTATTGTATAATGTTTCAATTTGCTATAATTGTAGCATTTGCTTAAAGTGAGATGAGTAAATTTCTCACGACTTAATTAATTTGGGTAAATAAAAATGGCGACCGTACGGAGAGAGAGAGAGAGAGAGAGAGAGAGTCTTCATTTGCCCAGTAGGAGCAGTACACATTGGCATGAACGTAAAAAAACCCTCTACAGTTGGATTTCGAATTCGAACCAGAGACCTAGCTAGCGATCCAGTGTCTTACTCACTGAGCCACCACGGTTCCTTCGACACGAACTAGGTCATTTCGGGACTAACATATGGTTAATTCGTTTGCCTGGATAGGGATCTTTTAGCAGTGGGAGGAAACCGGGGGCCCGGAGAAAACCCCAAGGTGACTGTATCGAAACCAATTACATTAGGAGAACCATAGATCAATGGAATCTTAGGACAGATATTCCTGTTAGAGAGATTCCACTTGTCAATGGTGCAGGGCGGAGCACCTGACAAGTTCGGATGGGACGACAAACCGAGGTCCCGTGTATACATTGGCGTGTACGTAAAAGATCCCGTGGCAGTTGGCATTCGGTAAAAGAGTGGGCCATGGTGCCGCTGCCCGGGCAAAATTGCCCTCATCGCACACTGTATGGAGTATGCCCGTCTTCATTATCCCAGTCGGAGCAGAACTGTAAGACGTAAAACCCCATTTCATTTCATTTCATTTCTGTTACAGAGAGATTCAACTTGCACAATATTATATTTTGCAAGGGATTTTTTTTATATACCGTTAAAAGCACGCGTGTTTTTTTCTTTAATAAATATATATTTTGAGAATCCTGTTCGTAGTACTCAGTGGTCTGATATAGGTCAAGTCGATCTTTAGCACCTACAGATATATAACACTAGCATTAATAATTATATTTATAAATTCTTCCTCTTATCAAATCAATCCTAATTCGTCGTCACGATTCGTGCTTGTTTATATTAATGCAACTCTTACTTGACTTGGCCAACGATACTGGATAACCAACTACATAAAAAAAACTCCCGGTTACGCATGGCCAATGGAACTTTTCGTCAAATATTGACAACGGTCCCAAACCACCCGTACGTTGAGAACTCAAATACTGCTTTTAATAAGAAAGATGTTTAAATTTTAGCACAAAAGGCCCATGGACCTGAGATGCACCGCTGTACATAAAGCAGCATGTATACTTCAAGGGCCATCATTTTTGCAGTTATTCTTTGATTTTGATTTTCTTTCACCGGTATGTAGCCAGAACATATGGGAAGCATATAAAAAGAAAGGCCTTTTGGTGATTACGTGTGTGAGTTAGTTGTATTTTACGTCCGCTTCCACCGAGGTGATATCGCAGACAATGGTGATACCTGAAGTTTCACCTCTATATAGGACACAGCTCACCAAATATATCTACGCCGTCGCCGACGAAACAAGGGTCCAAGCTATTTTTAGTCTTTCTTTCCCATTTCTGTTTTCTTTATTTTGCATGTCGACTTTTGTTGACATTTTGGTGTAGAATCGAAGAAAAGGGTTTGAAAATACATTTTCTGTCAGGTTTTGGAGAATATTCATGATTTTGAGGCTAAAGGATACAAGAGTTGAAAGGTTGGTTAGGTTCACATGTAGGGCCGAAAATTGCATGTTTACTAGCCTTGTCTCTACTTCCAGCTTGTGTATCTCAAGTTTTTCATGAAGAACCTCATAAGTGCTTTTGGGCAAGAGGTTGCCACATGTTGCTCCATCTGTGGTAGAAAGCGTCCTACTTAACGAAAACGAAAATTTGGGAAAAAGTTAGAGCCGGTCTAAGAGACGAGAATTAACATTAAAGTCAATGGGAAAATCATTGGTGATCTGTGGCCCCTAATGTATCTGAAGGGGGTTAACTTTTTATTTGACATATTTTTTTATTATAATAATGCAATAAAACACAAATGTTGTTCTTTTATATATTTAAGAAATAAAAATCTAAACATGATCTACATTTTCCACAGTAGATAGACTAAAAGCAATTCACGACTGAACGGAATGAACACCCGCTAACCCATCGTACAAACTTCCTATAGAGACCTGGCTTATTGAGACTACGGTTATGCTATCAAAATTCGCCAGGAGTATGAAATTACACGAATTATTTATCCTATTGTACAGTAATCCAAATATATTATGAATAAAGATCGTTAAGCAAGACAGATTATTGATCTCGTTCATATTGCTGCATACCATAGCCCACACAGTAGTTTGTTCGCCTTAAAACGTTAGATACAGACTTTGCGTAGATGCATCAAAATTATATTTCTACCTAAGCATTAAATCATAAAAATGCAGTTTTAGGTTTGATTACATTGAAAAATAACTAAAAGACATCTGGAATTCTAGCACAAACCACGACTCTATGTTTGTCTTGTCCATGGAACTTGGCATACAAATACATTTGCAAAACTTTTAAATGATACTTTTTATAATGAAATACATCCATCAATGGTTCATTTGAATACGCATAATACAAATTATGTACTACTAAATTCTATGGGGTGGTAATCAAAGACATAATAATAGGCGGACCTCCTAAAAGGGACATTATCAAAATAATGATACAGAATAATGAAATACTAACAGGTATCCATTGAAAGAGTAAGCTTACAAAGAAACAAAACAGAATACAATCATACTCTATAATATCACTAAGGAAAACAACAATAATAGGTTGCCAGACAACGTAACATACACCCACAGCAACTAAATAAAGGCCGTAACATTTCTATTTATTTGTAAGTAAGGAACATTTGCAATGTATTATGGGTAACATCCCAAGAAATAATTGAAATGAAATAAAATGGGGTTTAACGTCGTACTATTCTGCTTCTATACTGGGCTAATGAAGCACCCTGCACGTTTCAAGTCAGTAGCTTGAAGCGTATATATGGTATTAGTGTCAGTGGCTTGTGGCACGAAGTAACAGTATATTGTCGCATACATAATATATTATGTCAACGCTTGGGCGACATAATATATTGTGTTGACGCTCCAAGCGTGTTAGCATATTAGACCTGTAGACTCAGTGGAATGTACGCGTCATCAGAGCCATAGAAAGTGTCCCTGTAAATAAAAGAGGGCATCCTTATCAGAAAAAGGGCACCTGTGATGTCAGAATTTCAAAAAAGGGCACTTTTCTTTCGGTTAGGGTTAGGGTTAGGGTTAGGACACAGAAAAGAGAGAAAAAACAGAAAAGAAAAAAACAATCGAAACTAAGCATTCATTGGTTATCAAAGCGCCAATTAAATCTATCGTTGCAAGTTCATGCCTAGTCACCTCCATCCTAGTTCCAAGCGTTGACATAATATATTATATCGCCCAAGCGTTGACATAATATATTATGTATGCGACAATATACTGTTACTTCGTGCCACAGGCCACTGACACTAATACCATATATACGCTTCAAGCTACTGACTTGAAACGTATCGCCTGAATGAAGACGGACATACGCCATACAGTGTGCTATAAGGGAAATTTTGCCCGGGCAGCGGCACTATCGCCTACTCTTATATCGAATTCCAGCGGCCAAGGGATCTTTTACGTGCATTTCAATGTACATACGGGACCTCGGTTTTTCGTCTCATCTGAAAAGGGGAAACCACGTCGGAAAATCAGGATGAACTTATTCGGCCAATGCAGGGATCGAACACCCGACCTCCAGACTAGCGAGCCAGCGTCTTAACCACCTAGACACCGAAGAAATAATTAAAATGCTAACAAAATCAAAACATGTACCGCTAAGCATGTTCGATAAGCATAAGCATGTTACTTCTCTTGAACAGAATTGGTTGATAACTTTAGCATTCAGAAGATTTTGTCATAGTAATCAAAGTCCATAACTCTGACATCAATGATCGTAAAGGATTCTTCGTATAAATGTTAAGAAACCAGATGATAACTTTAAACTGAAGAGTGTCGCTTGCAATGTGGAGGACGGAAAGACGGATGGGTGACGACAGTATACGACTACATTTCATTGTGTGTACAAAATTGGATGCCCACATTTTACAATCCTAAAATATTACTTTTAGCAGATGATCATTGGAAACCTAAACTACATTAGACACCTTAGCTAAATTGGAAACCTAAGCACAGAAGTATGTTGGCCAACCCGTATACTATTACTTATAATAGAGAGAATGTGATAAAACAAACGTCTGAACAAACTCGCTTAAAATGTCTCGTACATAAACTTAGTGTGTCTTTTTAGGTGCATGGAACATCCCCCCTTACACACTATGCGGTGCTTCTATAACTAACGATCAGATTCGGACGCGCATGGTACGGCGTCAACAAACAAGGAAATGTCCGAGGATATATTCCAAGTTAAAAAGAAACTGAGCATTTGGTTATGGTTTCAATTCTTTTTATTCTTACAGGAACACGAAGTGGCACTACCAATATATTACAACACCGATTCCATCTGCTAATGAGCGAATATTTTGAGAAATTGCTGTCCATTGTTTAGACTCAAGAATGATAATAATTTGACGGAATGTAAATTTACCAAGAAAGCACATGGACTTATATCTGATAAATGCATGGTCTTATATCTTATGTTACTAAATCAGTGGTGTATTGAAGTTATAGGTGTACATGCCCTCATTTTCTAACCGAATTCCAGAAAAGAATAGCGAAATAATAAATAAATTGACACTCCCTCTGTTAAAACGTCAGTATATTGTTATTTTCAAGAAATTCCTTGAGCTTTATCTAGTCGAGATTTGATAAAACGATAGGCGATAGAAAATGGTCGTTGTTCCCAGACTTTTCTAGCTTCATCGTCTTCTGTTGGTTCTTCAGATACTAAACGATTGACCAGAACAACACTTATCATAGCCGCTGAAAACAGAAAATAGGTAAATGAGAATGCTGGAAGCAACGCATCATGACGGGAGTAGGCAGGTATACAGCAAGGGGCGGGAGATGGGGATGCCTCCCCATGAAAATGTTCAAATACGCGATTCGCAGAGTGCCCTTGGTAAGGAACACTTTAAAGTAGCTAAGTCTCTAACTCAATATCATCAACAATCTTCGACATTGAAAACACGAATTATATGTCAATTCAAATCAACATTGGTCTTGTGATCTTACAGGGAAAATATGGACTTCTGATATCCAATATTCAAGACAAAATAAACATTTTACCATTGGTACACGAATCGTGTACCATAATGCGTTTCAGCGCCATTTGGAACAAGGGACTCACAGAACCCTCAAACTTACCTTTGTAACCGGCTCGATGACAAAAAGAAAACAAACCAATGGATTCCATTTCTATATTTTTTACGCCTTTTTCTTGGAGAGTCTTAAGGAATGTTTCACGATCATCGTCTGTAAAGTCACACAAAGCACCATCGATACGCCCTTGACCTTAAAAATTCAAAGTAATAATGTAAACGTCGGGTCGAATCGGGCTCATTTTTAAAACATACCATCAAAGAGAAGTAAAATTTATGCAGAAATCAGTTTTTCGCCTAATCACTATTAGTAGCTGATAATATAATGTAGCAAATGTGGCAGAAAGATCTAACCGTACTTGTTCAAAATAGAGCTGAATGGGCGGAGAAAAGATCTCGAGCGCGATCGTGCTGTCCTGAATTCTAGTTGCTTTGGGGGAAGCAGATACAAATTCGATTAATGATTAGATCGTCGCTTAGTTTTAATAATTGCTCTTTTGTGTGCTGGCTGTCTGGCATTCTACTCTATTTTTGCAATGGGAAGTAACGGAAGGACCCAGAGAAAGAAAACCTACAGGGTTAGACAGATGACTTACTCCTTGGGACACACAAACAACTTGACTCAATAACAGACCTTCTGATCTACACGTGTAAAGCACACGCGTTCGATTAATCCCCCCCCCCCCACACACACACACTGGAGATGAGAAAGGGTGTATTAGTATTATAACATTGATACTCTGAGATTGCTAACCAATCTATTGTTTAAAAAGCGTTAAGAGAACAATTCTCCATCGCTAGTTTACCTTCATAAAAACTGTCCACTGATACAGTCGTTCCTAAGACTGTGTCAAAACTTTCATCTGGAAACAGATTGGCTAACTCTTTAGCAAGATCAGGATCTACATATGTTGGGTGTTCGATTCGTCGACCTAATGTCGTCTGGAAAACATATGTATGCTTTAGTGTTAAATTGATAACTTTTTCATTTAATCAGTAGCCTATATTAAACTGTTCTATAATGACCAAATACCACATTCAAAAACATTATTCTATTTACATCAGCAATCGACCACCACAAGTCACTCAAATATGCTTAGCCATTTGCAGATCTTTGCGTATGGGAATAAATATAGTCTTAAAAAAAGTAGGGGATATTCAGAAACAATACAAAACTGCGGAAATGCACTGCTGTTTTTATTACAGGTAACCAATGTATGTTCATAACAGGCCAATTGCCTACACATGAACATAAACAGTTCATATGGGCGGCTTATCTGACGGTCACATTTCACTCGCAAAGAGATACACTGTCAAAAGTGAAAATGAACGTTTTTGATTTTTGTCTTAATAATGAGTAATTGCTCCACCAATCCTCAGACATTCCGCAATTCGTCGTAGCATGCTCGTAATCAACCGTCCAATCGCGATTTGGGGCAATCTGACCCATTCCTCTTGTAGTGCCACGGCCAATTCTTGCAGTGTTGTCGGTTGATGTTGACGTCGACGTCGACGAACACGTCTCCCGATCATGTCCCAGACATGCTCTATAGGGGAAATGTCAGGACTCGTGGCTGGCCAAGGCATATGGACAATACGGTGACGCTGTAGGTAGTCATTCACGACACGAGCGCGGTGGGCACGGGCATTATCATCTTGAAAGATGAAACGTCGATCTGCCCGTTGAGCAAAGAGTAGAACTATCGGTGCCAGGATGTGGTCACGGTAGTACACACCAGTGACCCTTCCTTGAACAATATGCAAGTCCGTTCTGCCAGACGTGGTATTTCCTCTCCACACCATAACAGACCCTCGCCCGAAACTGTCATGCTGTCTGACGTTAACGATAGCATGACGCTCATTTACACGCCTCCAAACGTGAGCACGCCTATCGGTGAAATCCAGAGTAAATCTGCACTCATCTGAGAACATTACACGCGCGCATCGACGATTACCCCAATTTCTACGCTGCCTACACCAATGACGCCGGTTTGCCATGTGGTGGCGAGTTAATTAAATAATAGATTTTATGCAAAATTTAAGATAAGGGCGTTATATTTTTTATTCATCTTATAGTGTGGTATGGCATGTCATCAAAACAGCTCCCGTAGGATTTGTATGCTAAAATTGATATTTTTTGTTGTTTTGAGTTGATTTGGGACCATGCTATTCAACAATGTTGGGGTTCAAATTTTCCGAATCTTTGACCCCTCTGCAAGGGACATTTATCGGGACGATTGACTGAGGTCATGGCTATTTCCGCCAATAACAGTTGGATTTTCATGATCTGAAATTTATTCTTGGTTTTTATCATCATGCCGAACCCATCTATGATACATTTAAAGCGAATGGCAGTGGTTTTCATTAACCTTGGGTGGGAAATACCAATTTACGGTGTCAAAAACTCGGATCAATTTCAGCTTAGGGAAATCAATCTCGCAGTACCACTTTTTGTGCCTTCTGAGGCATGGTAAAATGTTTCATGCAGTCACTTTTGGGTGATTTGAATGTACTGTCATGAGATTCTGACGACTTCTGGCTTGTTATGATTTCTTTTTGTTTTTAATATTAAACTTGTTTACTTGTTATAAATGTCATAAACTTACCTCCCCTCTCCAGTCAGCACCGGGGAGGTTGTGAAGTCCAATCAGATCTTGACACTTGTGACTTCCAATGACACGTAGTCGCCCGATCTTATGCTTATCTCTGTGTTTTGCGGCCTTCCCAGAAAAAAACCCCAGCATGGAGTCGATTCGCTTGGTGGTTGTCTCTTGTAAGCCAGGGAGTTTCTGCATGGTTGGTTGTCACCTGGCACCGATGCCCTTACAATTCTTCTGAATTCGCACTCATCTCAAGTTAGATGCGATCGAGTGAGTACGTGTCATTAGAAGTCACAAGTGCCAAGGTTTGATTGGACTCTACAACTTCTCTGGTGCTTATTGGAGAGATAAATCAGATCAAGAAAATCCAACCATTATTGGCGAGATAGCCATGACCTAGGTCAGACGGGTCCCGATTATAAAAAAATGACTAAACCAGAGGGGTCGAAATGTCGGTAAAACTTGAAGCCCGACATTTTTGGAGAGCTTGGTCCCACATTAACCCAAAACAACAAAACAAAATCAATTTTAGCATACAAATCCTACGGGTTGACATGTCATACCACACTATCAATGATCTGCTCAAAAGTTAGAAAGGAAAATAATTCTGGAATTAATTATCGGAAATTAATTGTTTCGTCTTACTAATCTCACCATTCGCAAGATTCTACCAAGCAATCATGGGCAACTATCAGAAATCCCTGAAAATCAATAGGTTTATTACTCTTACTAACGTTAACATGTATAAACGTTCAATAGAGAATGTGGAAAACGGACAGATCGTAATATACGAACACGCTGCATGTGACTGTATAAAAATGATAACCTTACCGTACAATGAACGGGCTTTAATTCTCCATTCAATACATTTGTGGTAATAACCACGGTCCCGGGGTCTATACCTAATCCTCCTGATGTTCCTATTCTTATAAATATCACGTCTTGGCACTCGGCATAAAACAATAGTTTAAAAATCTCATTGATCACAACAGACAAAGAAGGTATTCCTATACCATGCTGAAATACACAACGAAAATATATGAGTTGATATCACGTGTTTAGAACGAACAAGAAAAGTCTATCCCAGTTTTTACACAGATTCAAACCGAACCTATGTGCACCTACATACATGGAACGACGTCGGGTATCTGGAAGCATAGTGGTTACAAAAAAGATTTCATTTTAAGATTTGATTGCCGATATAAATGTTAAAAAGGACCGTTATTGCGGAACCGATATGTTCAAGGTCGGATCTAGTGGGGGCGAACCCGCCGGCGAATTTTTTTTTCCATCTGACATAGCCATTGCACTTCTATTCGTCCTCTGATTGGCTCAAAGTTTGACGCCATATTCAAAGTAAACGATGTTTTTCGTCAGTATTATGCAATTTGGCTAGTAATTTTGTCGACTCAACCGCTCCTAGGCTCATTTACGTTACATAATTATACCGCGATTGTACTACACATGCGATGCAATACGCGATACATATGCTCGCACACAGCATACTGTTATAGTGCACTCATGCCATGGAATCATTACTGCAGCCAAGTACAATGTTATAGAGGCCTGAACTTTTTGTGATTATAGCTTCTATGATGTTATAATTATGGTCCTGGGCCCTGTTCCACGAAATCTTAACTAAAGATAAAATCCAAATTTTAGTAGATACTTCAATTTTGATTGGCTAAGCACTAAAATCAATCTAATATTATCCAATCAAATTACTAAAATTTGGATTTTATCTTAGTTAAAATATCGTGAAACAGGCCCCAGTTATGTAGGCTATGAGTGTAGAGTGTGAATCTTAGGAAACCTTTTGCTTCATTAGTAGTAGGCTACTAATAATATATCCCTCTCCCCCACCCATTCCAAACATTTGTAGTTACTACTTAGCGGCAGTCGAGTCTATCAAAGAGATTTTTATGTTGATATTAGTCAAACTTTGTTATATAAAAATTGTTGTACGCATATTATGAAAATTTGTTGATTTTTCAAAAATAAAATTAAAATGGAGCACTTTATCTTTGATTAGGATTAAATGTATAAAACTAATTACTATAAATATTATATAGTTGTTTATACTTACATTCGCACATAAAACAGGTCCAGCTTTATAAAGGCAATATCGATCTGTTTTATATGCGTAGTTGAACGGTTCTTCATTTTCACCGATTTTAACATTCAACTGTGCACCAATATATCGGACAAATTTAAACATTCGTGACTGTGATCCACCAAGACAGACAAACTATACAAAAAGGTGAAAACATAAAGAAGTTTAATGTAATGCTAACGTCTTTCGTCCGGCTCTGAGTTTGGTGCAGATCAGTAAAACGTCTCATTTCGATCACTTAAGTGAATATACATTTATCTTCTAGCTGGATTTGAACGTTATTTTCAAGTCCCAAAACGAACGCAGCATTACCATGGAACATTATGGTACCGAATTTTCTTGTTTACATTAATATCACCACACAATGCTCTTCCAGTACCAATTTACAATTGAAAGGCAAGGATAACTTGTCCATTTCAGTTCGATGAAAGAACCTGATCGGTCAGGAAATGTGAAGTGGGTTCAGATCGTGAAAGTCTTCCGGTGAGTGAGATAGCCCATGGGATTTCATATAGTTGATATTTCATTATCGAGACTACAATATGACGATGAGGGTTAAATCTATTTGTTAAGGCCATCCCAATTTTCGTTAAGGCCGAGACTGTAGGTTAGGGTAAGCATTAGGGCTAGATTTAGGGTTGGGATCAGGGCTAGCCATGTTTACATCTCTTGACCTTTGACCTAACTTGAAGTTGCCCTTATCAAATAGAACTAACCAGACGATGAGGTAGTCACCATTTTGAAATGCCATTTGATAGCATAGATATGCGCATGGGACATAAAATGGAGACGTGTGATTACCATGATTAGTAGAGATTATAGCTTACATAGCGCTGCTGTCACTGTGGATAGTTTGTACGCATATTCTCGAAAGCAAAATGGTAATAGAATATTAGATGACGACAAAATGTTAAATGAGAGTGGATGGCGATAAGTAATCCTAGATGATCGGTATTGTATACTCACTTTTACATCATTAAATAATTTCTTTATGTCCACGTCTTTCGTATTTATACCCAGGTGGTACAAAAAATCATATCCACCATGTTGGATGTGAGGATTGGACTTTAAGCTCATGTTTCTGAATAACAAAGCGTTCAACACTTAATCCATATTGTTTTATTATAAATTTCATAATTTGATCTTGAGGAAACATCGATTTCGAAAATTATTTGAGATGTTTGTTTGCGGGGTATCTTTCTGCATAAAATAACCAATTTTGATTCCAGCAAACCTGCATCCATTTACTTTCGATATGAAAATAAATGTGTCGGATACCGTATCCGAGCAGCAATAGTAAAACTGTCGGAATCTGTTGTTTCTTTTAACCAGCTGAGAATCAAATTTACCCATTGATCGATCCTATGATAGTCTTTGATCCTAGCGCCTTAACACAAATAAGTCAATCAAGGGGTGTAACTCTGTCAGTATTTACTTGAAATTGTTAAAATTCAATCAGAGCCTTCCTTAAAAATGTTAACAGGTTTTTGTAAATCAAGAAGGGTAACTCCTGAGTAAGGAATTGGTCAAAGTCAAAAGGTTATATATTTCATAAAGTTTGAAAGATCTGGTGATAATTAGAGTTATAAGCGTAAAAAAGGAGGAGGGGGGGGCAATTCTGAGTAAATCCGCTTAAATGTTAAAACTACCCCATCTATGACCCTGGAGTGTGGCCCGAATTGTCCAAGACCCCAAAATAATTATTACCGTGAAGCATTAGAATTTGATTGGGTTCACCTAGACATAAACATCAATACCACTTATAAATAGTAATTCCAAGAGATCGTTAGTTATAACCCTGGAAATGTTCTCATTGATAAAAACACTGTATATTCTAAGTTAATCTTGCTAATATGCTATTATGTGTAGGATAAAGCACGAGACAGAGGTTATGCTGGGGAAAGAAAGACTGAAGAAAATAAACTGAGAAAAAGAAAAACTTAGGCCGGCAGGTCGAGGTTTCTCTGTCGAGGTTTTTTTTTCTGAAGTCTTTCTTCCCTAGCATAACCGAAGTCGAGGACTTTATCTCGCTTATAAACCGTCTATGTTTGCATTTACGCAAAATGAGAATATTGTAAAAGCTAAAATTCTCTGGTTATAAGTCTTAAAATGGAAACAAACACTGTATTAGATGTATAGCAAGTTTATATTATATGTAATTCATGATCATATTTATACAAGACAATTAAACATATAATTACATAAAATAAAGTATTAGTAATCTATATACTAATATTAAACATATAATTAAAATAAAATGACATATTAATATTTACATAAGTTGGGGGTGGGTGTAAGAGCTTTCTTACTCGCTGGTGTGTAGAGGCACTATTTCGTCTATAGGACGCCTATCTTTAAATTATAAAACTACACACTTTGGACAGAGTGCATCGATAGTTTTAAAAACAAATAATATACAAAATATACGCTCACCTTAAAATGGAAACAAACACTGTATTAGATGTATAGCAAGTTTATGAGGAGTCTACTAGATGTCTTCCATCTTATATCTACATTATGTATTCCTAGCAACTAGTTTATAGCAACCAATTTAGTTAAACACTAATTAATGTTTATTGTTTGTAACTTAAGACGCTGCCCTCACAATACTTGCTAATACTCCAATACAGCTTATACCAGAATTCATCTAATTAAGGTAGCGTTTAGAATAATCTTTAAAACAACAATAGGGATTATAAGATTTAAAATACATGATAAAACACTAACTATTACAATATCCTAGAATTCCCATAAGAAAAACCTTAGATCATGTTTTCTTATGAAAAAAAACCTACCCTGGAAGAATGACCTGTTACAGGTTTAAAGAAAAACTTTCAGAAGAATAACCCCAAATTCCCCAGTACATATCCAATACCGCCTCCGACTTTCAGACCTCAAGTTATTCCGCGCATAGAATATATCCCAAAGATCAAAGAGATTTACCGTTACAGGTTTATAAAAACAGGTTAAAGCTATTACTAATGAATGTTATCAAAAAAACAACTTAACCCAATGAAATGACGTTAGTTCAATTTACTGAATATATTTATAGAGAGCAACTTGACAAAGACAAATCAACCTACTATTTACTAAACAACCTGTAAAGTAAAAAATCTGTACAGCCAATTACATATTTTGTTACGCAAGAAGTCAAACTGTAGCCACAAGAGTGAGCGCAATATTTTCCCAGTGACCAAGGACCATAACTTTGTAAGTAATTCTCGGAAATCGTATCAGTTTATCAGATGATAAAGTGGTTCAACAAGTCATTGCGGAAATCATCTCAAGGATATATATTTTGGCGTTCCTACGGAATTGTGGAAGACAGTCCGGCGGACGGAATGGTGGTCGAACTGCAGCGACGACAGTGTACGACCACGTTTAATGTGAATGTATAAAAGCTGCAGCATTTTGACATAGAAGATGTGCTGTTTTGGATATACATAACGGTAAAGACCTTAATTTTAAATTATTTAGAAACTATCAAATCCTGGGGATGATTGCATGTAACCGATTATATTTGTAGTAAACAAATACCACAAGTTTTAGATGATCAGTTAAAATACGTATGGGAATATCAATATGTAGCCACCTGTTGACCGATATATCGATCACTTTAGCTCGAAAAAACATAAAAGGATAATTTTTGTTTTTTGGGGAATTGAATTGACGTATTATTTGCTAACTATTCAAAATATATATAATATTATATGTCGTCAGTTTAGAACTCATATACACGTTATTATATATTATCAAAACTCAGATCTAGACGGATTGCGAATCTGCGTGTAACTTAAAAAATTATCCCAACGCCAAGAATAACAATGCTTATTAAATGATGTATGGCCGTATGTTTTGAACATATGGTACAGTTTGACCTGGATATTAGGGCATAACAATACAGCAATTCTACCATTTCCCATAACATATGTGTAAGTTTTTCTTCTTTTTGTTTACTGATGAACACACATACATAAAAAGTATACATACATAATAAAAGTAACGTTATTTTTAATATATAAATCAATATATATAAACAACAATTCAAATCGACCGTGGACAAGATAAGTTAAATGATTTATTCTCACTATCCCCTTATCTGATAAGGAGTTAGGGGTTACTGGGCTGTGGGTGTAGGAGTTTGTTCTAATTAATAGCTAGCGGCCTTGTGTAGTTATTTTGTATACGTTTTTTTTTTATAAATATCTTTAGAGGTTATATTTATGTTTTTGTTATACAGTTTTTCTAAAATTTTATCTAAACTTGTTTTTAATTTATTTTCACAAATTTAATATTCCAAATATATCCCGTTTCCGTTTTCTTGATTGTCTTCTTTACCCTTTAAATGTTAAATAAAAGTCGATTAATCATGATGAAGCCATAACTTATTATTAAACTCAAGTTTACTAAATTATGTCTTTGTGCTTGATAACGATAAAACCAGTGATTGTTTCCCATAAAAATTGGGTTCTGTTAATGTGTTTCCCAATCGCTAAATGCCACTTAAAGATTATCTGTATTGCTTTGGTTGGATATCACAATACGCGCCAAAGGTTTAACTAGTTTCCATGTATGGACGTTTTAAGGCGTTACGATTAAATTAGGCGATATTATAAAGGTCAATTAAAGATACATTGGGAGATTCAATAACGAGTTGGCAGTTCATTCAAATTGATCCACTATGAACCGAGAACAAAGCGATTGAATTTCCGCCTAGCCTTGATCATCATTACTATATCAGTACGATAAACAGCATAGTCTCGATTATCCACTTAATCGTTAAATCGTGAAGGAAAGTTATGCAGCAAATCGGCTCACAATCCACTAAAGATCGCAGGCTAGCGATGCCATCTAGAGTTGATTATGGTCTGGATAGGTTAATTAATGTCTAATTAATAATTTAGATAACATTTCAGGCCTAAAGAAAGACCTGCAATAGACAGATTTAGCTCTTGCATAATGTATGTTTAAGTCATTTGCGGATGATATTCAATATTAACAAAGAATTTATAAATTATATAATGCGGAATTTATGAACCCCAAAAGTCGGACTCCGGTCTCCACAATGTGATAAATCGAAATTAAAATACCTCTGGAAGTTTCCTATGCGTTTAGTTTTTATATTCATTTGACTCAAAACCAAACGAAACTATACTGCAATTTTACTTATGTTATAAGTATTTTCTGACCATCAGAATTCAGCAAAATTTACCCCCCATGTCCAAGAAATGACATTTCAGGAACGATTAAAAAAGTTCTCCGAACCCCCCTAGAAAGCTCGCACCTGTGGTATTGGGCTCGTGCCTGCGTCACTTGTTTAGGGGCCTGTGCACCAGTCGCGGTCTCATTTTTGCTAAACACCCAACTCCCCCAACAAAATCTATGTCGGAGTAGGATAGTAGGACGTTAAACCCCATTTAATTTTATTTCATTTCTCTCGATATCGAAAAGAAGATATGGATTATCTTCAGAAAGGAGGACTTTTTCCGACAGGAGTTGCATAAATTTTGCATATTTAGCAAAATTTTATGCACCCCCAAAACTTGTTCAGAAAACTTTGAATCAAAGTTTAATTTGTCATTGTTATTTGGTTAAATCTGTATTCAAAATATAAAAAAAAGATCTAGCATTTTACTTTTCAAAATAAAAGTTAAATATTTACTTACGATTTATGAGAACTAAATCCCGATAATATCCTTTTAACTGACGTAGCACAATAACCGACTTCTGGTTTAACAAGTAAAAGACGTAAACCACCCAGTCATATCATGGACCTTATAATACATGGACTGGCATTGGCTTAATAACCTAACCAGAGATGTCTGCCGCGCTGTAATTTAAGACGTGTCAATCACGACCATTGTATGGTGGCTGATAGTGGCCATGTTAAATCTCGCCCTTTTCATAACGCGACAACACGACATCACGACAGTATTGACGCAATCATACGACACTTTATTCTGTCGTATCATCGTGTTATTTTTATCGTAACGTCGAGATGTCGACTTATTGTCCTAGTCTCTTTCTACAAGTCACAAAAATACAGCTGTACTCATTACATCATATATAGGCCTAAGTAGTAGATTTGATAAATATAAAAGAGATAGTAGGAAAACGTTGATTAATTATTTGTTTTCTCAAAATAATGAAACATTTTGTGTCCACAAGTGAATTATATTTGGTATTATATTTAAAAAATCTAGAATTACAATAGCAGGACCAAAGTGAGTTAACTAAGTTAATTCCTTGAAGAAAAAGTGGTGTCGGGAGGTATCACACAAGTAAGCATTCATTGCCATGTGTACGACACCCACCAATATTTATAGATGACTGGAGCGATAGTTTAAAAATGATTTCAGAAGACAGGGTGGGAAGGGGATTGTAAAAAAACCAAATCGGGTCACATTCTTTAAAATCACAGCATTATCATAGTGCAGCACGTCACCCCAATAGTTGCAGGAGTCTTTTTTTTTTTTGAATGAGGTGGAGAAAACGATTCACAGCCTGTCATTGAGTCAACTGGCGTGGTTTTGAATCCCCGGTTGTACGTGACAAGGTGTAGGGTCGCCTGTCAAACCTCGTGGGTTTTCTCCGGGTCCTCCGGTTTCCTCCCACTGCTAAAGACCCCTACGCGCAAACGATTTATTGAAATAAAATTAAACCATATGTTAGTCCCGAAATGACCTAATTTGTGTCGAGTGGACGTTAAACCCCTCTCTCTCTCTCTCCCTCTCTCTCTCTCTCTCCCCCATTTGACATCACTAATGGGATTGAGGCCTAGATGAGTAAAAATAGGCCCAGTAATATCTTCAACTATGAACACACTCTAAAAGCCTCATACCCCCCCCCCCCCCACGTCACCCAAATAGATGCAGGAGTTTTTTTATGAGGTGGAGTAAACGATTCGCAGCCGTTATTGACCTTATCGCATATAGGCTTGCATCCGTTTGACATCACTGATGGGATTGGGGCCTAAATGAGGAAAAAAAAGGCCAAGTAATATCTTCAACTATGAATACACTCTAAAAGCCTCATACCCCACCCCACGTCTCTTATTTAGTTTTACAAATAATTCCAGAATCAATAAAATGGTATCAATGATGTTTGATACAACTGGAAAATAATATGTCAAAAATTGATTAAACATGAGAAATATTATTACATATTGAATCCGTATCAGTGATAACGTACATTTACTCAATATGTTCCTTCCAATGGATCATCATTTAACATGAAACAAGGAAAGCAGCGATCAAGAAAAAGATTTAAAAACACACACATTTCAATATGACAGTAGTGATTCGGTCATGCATTTACATTCGAGAGTGTCATGCTTTCTTTGAAAGTAATGATTGTGCCAAATTTGAACAAAGTCAGTTTACATTCGCGGCCTATAGGTAGAGTGTTGACAGATCAAACGTAAAAAAAAAACAAAGAAAAAACCAGACCTATAAAAATATATTTCTAAAACTCTTTTAATTTTGAAATAATATTGTTTTCGCGTGTGCTAAGTGTTTCAGCGAATACATGTATCATCGACTTGTCGACTTGTCGTCTCGGAAGTTTGAAACTGCACATGCGCTATAGTCTTAATCTACAAGACCCTTTCTACAACTATTCGCTAAAACACTTATCACACGTGAAAACAATATAATTTCAAAATTAAAAAAGGTTTAGAAAATATATTTTCATAGATCTGTTTTTTTTAAGGTGTTATCTGTCAACCCTCTGGTATAACTACAGACTGCGGAACTAGATGTTCAAATTTGGCATAATCATTACTTTCAAAGACAGGATGGCATGAAATGAAATGAGATGGAGTTTAACGTCCTACTGGGCTAAAGACGACGGGCATACGCCATACAGTGTGCTATGAGGGAATTTTGCCCGGGAAGCGGCGCTACGGCCCGCTCTTATATCGAAATCCAACTGCCAAGGGATCTTTTACGTGCACGCCAATGTGTACACGGGACCTCGGTGTTTCGTCCCATCCGAACGACTAGACAGCTGTCATTGTCAGGCCCTCCGTCCCGCATCACTGACAAGGGGGAACCACGCCGGTAAATCTTGATGAATTTTGTCGGCCAATGCAGGGATCGAACCAATCTGTGAAAAAAGTCGTCTAATATCTCTGTAAAAGATGACTGTTTTCAACACATGCAATCACGTCACGCGGTCTCAATCATTGGACCAATGGCGCGTGCATTGTTTATATAAGACGTAACTGCTTCGGGTAGAATGATGCCTTTTACTCATTTTAATACCCATTTACGCTACATAGGAAATATTTTTTACCTACAAATACTTCAAATGTCTTTATTTATTTTTCTAATACATAAAAAAAAAATTTTTAGAATTAAATTTGTCGGAGGAATAATGTTAATATTGGGGACTCATTAAGTCGCATCGATGTCATTCTTATCAGAGGCCTAGCGAATATTCACTTCTGATCAGTGTGGGATCGAACACCCGACCTCCAGGCTAGCTAGCCAGCGTCTTGCCCACGTAGCCACGCGATCCTCTGAAAGGATGATACTCTCGGGTGTAAATACATGACCGAACCAGTACTGTCATATTGAAGACGGGCATACGCCATACTATGAGCGAAATTTTGCCAGGACAGCGCACTATGGCCTACCATTATATCGAATTCCAACTACCAAGGGATATTTTACGTGCCAGGCCCTCTGTCCAGCACAACTGACAAGACCTCGTCGGAAAATCTGGATGAACTTTCTCGTCCAATGAAGGGATCGAACACCCTGCTTTCGGGTTACCGAACCAACGTCTTACCTGCCTAGACACTTCGACTCCCCCGCAAAATATCAAGCACCAAAAACAATGGATCGAGGCCTAGATGATTACACACTATGAAAGCCTCATACGCCCCCCCCCCCCACGTCTCTTATTTTGTTTTACAAATAATTTCAGAATCAATAAAATGATATCAATGATGTTTGATACGACTGAAAAATAACATGTATAGCATTGATTAAACAACATAGGTAGTAATGAGAAATATTACATATTGAATCCGTCTTAGTGATAGCGTAGATTTACTCAATACGTTCTTTCCAATAGATCATCATTTAACTTGAAACAAGGGAAACAGTCGATCGAAGAAAACAGATTTTTTAAAAAAAAAAAACAGGTTTCAATGTGACAGTAGTGCTTCGGTCATGCATTTACCTCCGAGAGTGCCATCCTTTCTTTGAAAGTAATGATTGTGCCAAATTTGAACAAATTCCATCTAGATTCGCGGCCTGTAGGTAGAGTGTTGACAGATCAAATGTAAAAAAACAAAAAAAACAAAAACCCCAGACCTATAAAAATATATTTTCTTAAACTCTTTTAACTTTGAAATTATATTGTTTTCACATGTGCTAAGTGTTTTAGCGAATATTTATAGAAGGGTCTTGTAGATAAAGACTATAGCGCATGTGCAGTTTTAAACTTCCGAGACGACAAGTCGACAAGTCGATGATACGACAGTTTAGTGTTTTGTCGTACCGTCGTATCATCGACTTGTCGTGGCGATAAGTCGATGATACGACAGCACGACAAAATAAGGTCGATGATACGACAAAATCAGACGATCTTACGACAGTTTGTTCTGTCGTAAGATCGCCCGATTTTATCGTAAGATCGTGTGATTTTGTCGTGCCGTCGTATCATCGACTTGTCGACTTGTCGTCTCGGAAGTTTAAAACTGCACAGTGCACATGCGCTATAGTCTTAATCTACAAGACCCTTTCTATAACTATTCACTAAAACACTTAGCACATGTGAAAATAATATAATTTCAAAATTAAAATAGTTTTAGAAAATATATTTTTATAGGTCTGGTTTTTTTTTTACGTTTTATCTGTCAACACTTTACCTACAGGCCGCGAATCTAGATGGACTTTGTTCAAATCTGGCACAATCATTACTTTCAAAGAAAGGATGACACCCACAGATGTAAATGCATGACCGAACCACTACTATCATATTGAAACTTGTTTTTTAAAATCTTTTTTTCTTCGATCGGCTGCTTCCCTTGTTTTCAAGTTAAATGGTGATCCATTGGAAGGAACATTTTGAGTAAATGTATCATTGATACGGATTCAAAATGTAATATTTACTACCCTAAATGTATCATTGATACGGATTCAAAATGTAATATTTACTACCCTATGTTGTTTAATCAATTTTAGACACATTAATTTCCAGTCGTGTCAAACATCATTGATAGGGACCTACCATTTTATTGATTCCGAAATTATTTGTTAAACAAAATAAGAGGGGGGGGGGGTGCGTAGGGGACTTTCGGAGTGTGTTCATAGCTGAAGGCAATACTGGGCCTATTTTTAATCATCTAGGCCCCGATCCCATTAGTGATGCCAAACGGATGAATATGCGATAAGGTCAATAACAGCTGCAAATCGCTTTCTTCACCTCATAAAAAACCTCCCCTGCACTTATTGGGATGGCGTGCTACACCAATGCGGTGATTTTATGTGGTCTGATTTGAGGTTTTATATAATCCCCTTCCCACTCTAATAAAATAAATTGGAAATCTTCTGAAATCGCTTCTAAACTATCGCTTCAGTAATCTATAAGTATTGGTGGGTGTCGTACACGAGGCAATGCATACTTGTTCGATACCTACCGACACCACTTCTTATTCAAGGAATTAACATAGCTGAATCACTTTTGTCCTGCTATTATGATTCTAGATTTTTTGAATGTAATACCAAATATAATTCAATTTTGGGCGCAAAATGTTTCATTTTTTTTTAGAAAACGAATCAACGTTTTCCTATTATCTCTTTTGACGAGTCTTATTTATATGTATCTATGTATATGTATCTGATGTAATGAGTACAGCTGTATTTTTGTGACTTGTAGAAAGAGACTAGGACAATAAGTCGACATCTCGACGTTACGATAAAAATAACACGATGATACGACAGAGTTAAGTGTCGTATGATTGCGTCAATACTGTCGTGATGTCGTGTTGTCGCGCTATGAAAAGGCGAGATTTAACATGGCCACTATCAGCCACCATACCATTGGCTTCTCTCGTATTTTCTCACGCGGCAGGCATTCAGCGATATTGCTTCTCGTAACCAGTCCATTGGCGTTTTTGTGAGTCGATTACATATACAAGGCCACAGATGTTATGGTATCAATGTTAAAGCGATCGTCACTATTACGGAAATGTTCTCGTATTTATGACATCGCATTGAGAGACATGTTGACTTTTTTTGATGTTATGGTATCAATGTTAAAGTGATCGTCACTATTACGGAAATGTACTCGTATTTATCGACATCGCATTGAGAGACATGTTTTGACTTTTTTTAAAAGTTAAATTGTAGTTTTCGTAGATTTTTTTTTAAAAAAATCATCATGGACGACAGCAAACCGTTTTCTTCGATGCACAAATTGGTCTATCATTGTGTGTGCAAAGTGGTCCGGAGAGTATATAAGACGCCAGTGAGTGTTGCTTTAACATCTGTGTTTGATTAAACTGGGCCAAACATGTGGAGAATATCAATGAACAAACATGTGCTAGATCTTAGTACAACAGATATATCGTACCAAGACAATAGCAATGATGAAATGCAAACACGGTCTTACCGTCGAATTCAGTTGCATAAAAAGGGGGTGGACCGTATCTCATGATATGCCGTCGTCAAGTCTATACTTGTAGATTATAGCTGTTGAAAAAGTCTTACATAATATTATATGGGATGAGAAAAAAAGAGAAAACCTAATACGTTGCCTCGCAATGTCGGAAAACTGCGTTACCTGAAATACTAATACTCCTGCAATCCATTAATCCAACAATCTGTATTACGTCTAAATGATACCGGCTTCTCCATACATTATCTATATCTCAACTTATTTCATCAGTCTGTTTTGTTGTCTGTCCGTCTAATTATAGCAATTGTTTTTCCCCGTTTCGTGCTAGATTTGCTTGGCAAATTTTGTTGACTGTTTGGTCTAGAATTGAAGAAGAGTGTTAAATTTTAGTGAATAGTGTAGCACCATGAGTCTTCTGTCTGACGTGGAGAGCGTCTATGGGAAACCGGTCGCCACATCCTACATACAACCCATGCATCTTTTCTTACTACATATTTCTGTAGCCTTGTGATCGTCTAGAATTTGTCTCTAGCTGTCTTTACTTCTGCTTCACGTTGTGTATTTACTTCTTCCAGTTTCTTAAGACGTTTGTCTTACCAGGAATAATAATGCATAGTTCGCTTCTACATTTTATATAGCATATAACTGAATACAGGTATACAAGCATAGCACAAATTACAATACTATATAGCTAAAACCACTTCTCCACCCTATCCAGCCTCTCGGCTGTCAGATGTACCCTCGATCTCTGGAATCTAATGCAAGTCTGACTTACAGGGTTCCCCGGTTTCTTTTAAAGGTAAATGAATATCATGCACCATAAAGCGTGATCATGGCCCTGAACTTGTGTAATTAACAAAATGATTGGTTACTTTAAATCAAATGATGCAATTAAAATAATTCCACTCACGTGTAATTCTGGTGGTAAATAATTGACATATTTTGGTTAAAGAGCTCTTTTTTATATGTCAACTGTCAATTACAGACTAAGTTGATTTAGTGCACACTATATATGTGAATATGTTTGAAATTACTAACTTGCCAAAGATATTAATTAATGAAATATAAAGCCATCTTATTTCAAGAGCAAAAATTCTAGATTTGGAGACCGACGGATCAAAAAATAAACTGACGTCAATTGGGGAAATCACCTATAGATTTCTTTGAAAAGACGTAAGAAAAAAAATCGAAACCGCCAACCCCCTTCAATAATTTTATAAGAATATAATTCATATTAGTTTACTTCCTGAATATTCACCAAAACCTGAGGGACAATGTACATTCGAACACTCTTCTTCGATTCTTGACAAAATTCAACAATAACTACAATGCAAAAGAAATAATTTCTATTATGAAATCAAGCGACATGAAATGGGGTTTTACTGTTCTGCTCAGAATGGGCTAATGAAGACGGCCATACACCATACATTGTGCTATGGGGCAATTTTGCCCGGACAGCGGCGCTACGGCCTACTCTTATATCGAAAAACAAGGAAATGCACGGACCTTTTCTATTTTTCTCATTTTCTCTTATCTAGTGACAGTCAATCCTTTTTATGAATTGTCAGATATATTCTCACATTCTCATATAACAACTTTTCGTCTCCGAAGAATTATCATATCAGTGAGCTGAAATTGGACCGGGTATCTGCTATCGCTCGTTTCTTCAGTCAGTTAAGGATAATGATCCCTATTTTAAAATTATATTTGGAATGTGCTTAATCAGTTCTATCACATGTGATAATGGCTGACACCAACATTGTCCTTTAAACTTCATTTCATGTCCATAAAACACAAGTCCCTTCTGTTATAAAAAAAAAATTAAAAGAAAAAAAATACATCCGTTTTATTAAGTTCATAATAATCAATACGCCTTTACAATAATTACTCAGAGTGGTAATATATTTTGCCCAATGACAATATCAGCAATATGTGGATTATTTAGGTAAGATGTTAAGATATTTACAAATCACAGATAACATAACCTCGTCTGCGCCCCCGCCTATAGATATCAACCGAAAATCTCTGAAAATAAAACAATATCATTTATTCAAAATATCAGTCTAATCCAATGATCTGTAAACAGTACGTGCAGTAATGTTATTATGTTTGAATCAATAGTATTTATTATGTTGTTGATAAAGATTAAAGACAACAATGGGCCAAAATTTAAACCTTGGGGAACTCCTGCTTTATTATTTGGACCCTGGTTAGGCTGAAAAGTCATATTAGTCACAGTATGCATACAAAATAGATAATTTTTATGGATTGAACCGCCAGTATGAAGAGAAATTTTAGTAATGGACTGGAAAGAAGATAAACACATGTATAACGAGGTTTATCTAATCGTGTTGTTTGCACAGCAGTATGAACGGAAAATACATCATTAGATAACTTTGAGGGTGTTTATTAGCGAGGTTTAAACGCCAGTATGATAACAAAATATGGAAGGTGTGACATTAATCTAAGAGTAGTTATTCAGCACGTGAATGAACCGCCAGGATGAGAATGATTGAAAGCCCACTGAATGTTGAACACACACTCCCATCAATTGCTAAAATATTTTGTGTTATTTCTTAGAAGACTGTAGATCTTATAGAACGGTCCAGCAAAGGCCACATAAGACTGTCTTAAGAAAATCCTAGTTAAACGTGATTTTGAAAGTTATCAGTCTGAGGTAGCCAAAGTTAAAACAGAACTCGAGTGATATGTTGTTTTAACAAGCTTTGTTTAACGCCCTACTCCGACTGAGCTATAAAAGACGGGCATACGCCATACAGAGTGCTATGTGGAAAATTTTGCCCGGACAGCAGCGATATGACCTACGCACGCCAATGTGTACACGAAACCTCCGTTTTTCGTCCCATCCGAACGACTATACACTGTTCCTTGTTAGGCCTCCACCACTGACAAGGGGGAACCAGACCGGAAAATCCTGATGAACTTCCTCGGTCAACGCATGGGTCGAAGGGGACCTCCAGGTTAGCAAGTCAACATCTTACTCACTAAGCCACCGTGGCTCCCAACATTCCTATTATACATATGTAAATAGGCTACTAACTACACCCGAAAATGCAGCTTTGATTTCAATTTTGTTTTTTTTGAAGCAAGTAAATTATTAATTTTATTTTCTAATCTAGATTAAATGTTGCTGTTCACATGTGCCAGGGTGGTTTTGTTCTATGCATACGTTTATACCCTGTTGTCATTAAAATTATTCCGTATCATACAGGTGAGTTGAAAGGCTTTGGTCATACCTTTACTGCATTAGCCGGCGTTGTTGTAAGTGCCGACAGTGACTTGGGCAGAGCTTATTAATGATACAGAGCTTATTAATGATACGCAAAGCATTATAATGTATTACATTGCCTGCGGGGGGGGGGGGGACTGAATGGTTAGCGTACGCGCGCTGTATCATAAAGTCTGTCATTGAGTCGACTGGCGTGGTTTCGAATCCCCCGGTTGTACGTGACAACCTCGTGGGTTTTCGCCGGGTTCTCCGGTTTCCTCCGACAGCTAAAGAGCCCTACGCGCAATTGGATGATTGAAATAAAATTAAACCATATTTTAGTCCCGAAAGGACCTAGTCTATGTCGAGTGGACGTTAAACCCCATTTCTCTCTCTCTCTCACATTGCCTGCGATGGGGAAAAGAAGATATGATATTTTGGACAACCGTCCGGCTGGTGCCATATAAAGAACTTGTGATACATACCGGTACAATCTGCTAACTAATACGTCATTGGTGAATCCCATTCCACCCCAATATTGTAAACAGCTGTCGATCAATTCTCTAGCCAATCGTCCCGACTTTAACTTACACATAGACGCTAGTTTAGTAACGTCATTACCTGCTATATATAAAGCTGCAAAATAGAAAATATTATATTTACATAATATTGTTAGTCATAGAGAACCTTGGATTTTTGGTTTAAATTTTCCTTGGAGAAATCAGTGGTGTTGTAAATGGAATGCTTGACTGGTATAGGTGGCAATATCAGAAGAATGTGCAAGTAAATCTAATGGTGTCCCTTTACAACTGAAACGATCTGGTCAAGAACTGTGTTGCTACATTTTGCAGCTTGTTTTCTGGGCGGGAAATTGACTATATGATGGACTAGTATGGAGAGATGATTCACCGTTCTTGTGAGATGAAGCCACAAATATTGGAAGGGGGTTTAATGGGTTAACTGCTTAAAACTTACCTACAGTTCTATATAATAAAGATCTCAATAACTCGATTTCAGTCTCTAGTTCAGCCAGTCTAAAATGTATAACCTGGTTACTAAGAAGCGGTTTACCAAATGCTTCACGTTGTAGTGTATATTTAGCTGTTTCGCGTATTATATTCTCCAATGGAGATATCACTGAAAATAGTTAATCAATAATTGTTTTAAAAACCATCCTATTAAACTATTGCTATAAATCTGTATTTATGTTGAGATCATGTGTTTTATCGAAAGTCCAGAAAGCCATGTATAGCATCCACAAAGGTGTTCACGGTCTGAGTGACAATCTTAAATTTTCTATATTTTCTGACAACATTGAATCAGGGATGGGAAATCTATTGTTCCTTCGGGGTTTTTTTTGTTGTCTTTAAAGAAAGTAACATACAAACAGCAGTAGCGTATAATCTTTCTTCTTGAAACTGTAACATTTGATAAACAAAGCCCTTCCCTTCTTCTCCGATAATATGTGATCTTGGAACCTTGACATCTTCAAAATATATCTGTGCAGTATCGGAACATCTCATCCCCATTTTGTCTATCTTCTTAGCTATTGTTATACCTGAAATATCATATATCTATATATATCTAGTGAGATACAATTGTTCAGTCTATCTTTAAAGTATCATAACTGGTATTTTATTTAAAATGGACAGATGTGGCAACATTTAATAAGGTTCGTTATTATTTACAAATCGTAAATTGGCATATAGTTACTGAACACCGCAACTGACACAAAAAACACATCTAGGTAATTTCAAAAGAGGATGCTAATGAAGATAAAAGTTAATTATGATTGAATTCACTTAACGCATATCAACAGGAAAGGAATAGATCCATGAACCAAGGAGAGATTAAAAGAAAAGGCTTTTCTTGTTTGGTATCAGTTATAAATGACCCCCTATCAAAGGTCTGAAATTTTGAATATAATATTATGTTATTGTTGTTTCAAATTGTATATGGATCTTGCCATACATAAATAAACAATTACACAACAAAGGCATATCAAATGGATCAGCAGTGGCAAGCCGTAAGCTACACGTCCCTGTACAGTCCTGGACCTGTAGTGATATATATTTGTCTACCATTCACATATTTTAATCAGTTGCTTGATAAAGTAACAAGTCTTCCCATACTGAATAGTAGACAAAATACAATATCCTTAAACTTCTGTTCATCTACGGGAGACTATTTTCTATAGGTGTTACATCATATTCCCAATCTGATTAAAATACAGATCTATATTTCGTTTCGTTTTTTTATACTTTCGATGGCCTACACTACATGAAGATCTGACAAGTTATAGTGATAGGTCACGTCAGGGGTCAAAAGACCGATTTATGACCCTATGATGTCAGACATTTGATTAACCAATCAGCATTGATGTTACTAGTGGATTACCCACAGTTCCGTGCAAAACACGCCTAAAGCTCGCCGTGACAGACCATTTCATTGGCTTATCCCTGACACCATTCAGAACACGAGTTAAATAACAACTCTTCCAGATCCAAGTGTAGTAAAGACAAGTAAAACAAAATTTTGAACTATATTAACGAAACGAAATAGGATCGATGTTTTAACCAGATTGATCATATTCCAGTAGTAACCATTGGCAGTTTCAGTGACAGCCACTGTAAGATACACTTATTTCGAATTCCAGCTGTCATTGGTTCTTTTACGTGCACGCTAATGTGTACATGGGACCTTCCTTTTCCATCTAAACCAGAACAACTTGTCCCTTGCCAGGCCCTCTATCCTGCAACACTGACAAGGGGTAACCATGCCATAAAATCCCGATGAACATTCTCGGTTAGCACCGTGATACATCACGAGACCTCTCAAAGTATTTACCTGGTGAATTCATTGGAAGACATATGAGTGATTTATTTTTATGTTGTTGTTTTTGTTCACCAGTATTAGCCAGTAAACACATCCAATCAGCCTGAGTACCATTAGTAATCCACATTTTACCTCCATTTATTATTAAATCATCTCCCTGTCTACTCCCTCTTGTGTTAATATCTATAATAACAAAATATAATATATTTATAATAACAAAATATAATAAATTTATAGTAACAAAATATAATATTCTTATAACAACCAGAAATATAATATTTTTATAATAATAAATTTATAATAAATTCATAATAACAAAATATAATACATCTAATGATACCAAAAGACATGTCAAGGGTTTTTTATGAGCATACCAAGGTGTACTCAGGAGACTGTCTTTTTTGTCCCATCCAAATGACTAGACGCAGTTCCTTCCCAGGTCCTCCACTGACAAGGGTAAAACAACCTTGAGGAGCCTTCATGGCCAACACTGGGATTAAACCCATCACCTCAAGTTTAGATAGCCAGTGCCTGCCTCACAGAGCCAACATGGATCCACCAAAAGACAATAAGAATCTTACTTGCTACATCTGATCCTGCTCCAACTTCACTAACACCCAGACAAGCTACACTATCTCCAGATATTGATGGCTCTAAAAACTCTTTCTTTAATTTGTCACTTCCAAATCTACAAATACATAAATCAACAAGATAACAGTGAGGCTGATGTCCCCCGTGGAAATCCGAAAATAAATAGATGACAATTAATTGCACATTTATCTTTTCAAAAGTATCAAACAATCAAACTGATTATCTATGCTTAGTCTAAGCATAAAATGTTCAAATCACTCTCCATCAGTTAAAATTAAAGTTATCTTGTCCCAAAGCATCAGCCAGTGAAATTGTGCTTAGCCTTGCTTAGCTTTAGCGAGAAATATTAATCATTGAACATTCCCCTAATGAACATCTATACCTCAATTAAAAGCAGAGTTGCTATGCTCCCAAGTCTGATCCCATCAAATTGCTTATCGCTATTTAGCCTAGGCAGAACTTGGTCATGGTACCGGTATTGATATAATGAATCTATACTAGGAGTTTAATCACTCTCACCTAATTAGAATCAAAGTTATCTTGTTTCAAGGTCTCAACCAATAAAATTGCTTATCTCTGCTTAGCCTTAGACACCTGAACCAATTTTGAACATTCTACCTCAATTAGAAGGAGAGTTATTGTGTTCCAAAGTCTCAACCAATCAGATTGAAGTCTCTACTTTGCCTAAGCAGAAAATGTTCAAGATCTTTGTTATGGTATTGATGTTATGAAACTACACAAAGTTTCACCACTATAACTCAATTAGAATCAAAGTTGTCAAGCTCCAAACACTCAACCAATCAAATTGATTACCACTATGCTTACCCTGTGCCGAAAATGATCAGTATCAAACTTAGTCAAGGTATTGATGTGATGAAACTATTCACCAAGTTTCATCATTCTCACTGAATTAGAACCAAAGTTATCTGTAAAGCATCAACCAATCAAATTGCTTATCTTTGCTTACACTAAGCAGAAAATGCTCATCTTTTCAAACTCCATCAAGGCATTTACCTAATGAATGCCTACACCAAGTTTGAGCATTCTACCTCAATTCAAGGAAAGTTATTGTGTTTCAAAGTCTTGACCAATCAAATTGCTTATCACTCTGCTTACCCTGAGCAGAAAATGCTCATATTTATCAAACTGAGTCAAGGTATTGATGTAATGAAACTATATACCAAGTTTTATCACTCTCACTTAATTAGAACTGAAATTATCATGTCCCAAAGCATCAACCGATCAAATTGCTTATCTCTGCTTACCCTTACTCCATCAAGGGATTCACCTAATAAACACATACACAAAGTTTGAACATTCTAGCTCATTTAGAAGGAAGATTATTATGACCTAAGAAGTGACAGACAGACAGACAGACCGACCCATTTTAATAGTCCCATGCTTTCTTCAAAAAGCAGGGGACAAAAATATGAGAAGACAGACAATTGAATACTTGAAAATCAAGTTAAAGACCGATCACATGCACAGGTTCTGCCATTTGTTCATAAAATGTACACAAATATAAATTGCCAGACAACTAATAGAATGATTAAAGGGAAATAACTCATAGTCATTAAATCATGTTAGTTCTGCTGAGACATTTCAGGCATATGTCTTGGCGGAGGGGGGTGGGGGCTCTATACAGAAGAGGCCCAGGAGAGAGCCTAGAAGAAAGCCTATACATTTAAAACAGTTTAAAACAGTAAATGTCCTTCAGAAATGGTATCAGATGCAAGGAAATACCACCACCCCCTACCCCATACCCCTCTCCAGGATGGTTGGATGGCTAAATGGTTAGCACGTGCGCGCTGTATCATAAAGTCTGTCATTTAGTCAACTGGCGTGGTTTCGATTCCCCGGTTGTATGTGACAAGGAGTAGGGTCACCTGTCCAAACTCGTGGGTTTTCTCCGGGTCCTCCGGTTTTCTCCTACTGCTAAAGACCCCTACGCGCAAGCAAATTATGGAAATAAAATTGAACCATATGTTAGTCCCGAAATGACCTAGTTTGTGTCGAGTGGACATTAAACCCCATTTCTCTCTCTCCCAATACCTCTCTCTCTCTCCAGGCTCCGTGGTCAGTCACACCAGGATAGGGATGACCCCGCCCCCGCTGATCATTTTTCTGCACATTCTCCTAAATTTTAAATGTGTGCTTGGAAAATATTGGTTTACAACTTTCCAAATCAACACAGAAATAAAGATATTATACCGATTACCTTGATAGTGCTGGTGTAGCCATATCCGTTTGAACACCAATTGCCATGGGAACTCCACCACAGTTTATGTTACCCAATTCTTCTGCCATTGCCACACTATAAGTAAAATCTAAACCTAGTCCTCCATACTCTAAAGGTTTAAATAAAAAATAAATCATTAAACATCATAGAAGATCACTTCATAAGCTTCACATGAAATAAAACGAATCTAGATGTATTTCAACATGTTAATCCCGGGGTGACCTAATTTGTGCTGAGTGAATGTTCCCTAGCACACCAACAACAAGTGCTTGGTCAGTTATGATTTATAACTTGTATGTTAGTTAAAACTGGATGCAATTGATAAATCAAGGGTTCTATGGTATTATGAGGTATTGTGAGATTTGGGGATCACGTGGCTAAGTGGGTAAGACATTGGCTCACTAGCCTGGAGGTCTTGTGTTCGATCCCTGCATTGGCGGAGAAAGTTCATTCAGATTTTTCGGCGTGGTTTTCCCTTGTCAGTGATGCAGGATGGAGGGCCTGACAAGGACAGCTGTCTAGTTGTTCGGATGGGATGAAAAACCTAGGTCCTGTGTACACATTGGCGTGCACGTAAAAGATCCCTTGGCAGTTGGAATTCGATATAAGAGTAGGCTGTAGCGGCGCTGCCCCGGCAAAATTTCCCTCATAGCACACTGTATGCTGTATGCCCGTCTTCATTAGCCCAGGTTAGGAGCAGAACAGTAGGCCGTTAAACCCCATTTCATTTCATTTATTATGAGATTTAGAAACAAAAACATTAACAGTAATAACAGCTATTTGTATATACCTGTTGGTTTTGTAACTCCTAAAAAACCAGCTGAACCTAGTTTCTTAAAAACAGTTTTAGCAGGAAAATGACCATCCTTTTCCCACTGATCAACATATGGGTTGATTTCTTGATCTATTATCTAAACAGGTAAAGTACAAAATATTTATATTTGTTTAAGGTGTTATAATTTCTTTGTATCCTACCAGCTGATGTTAAAAGTCTCTCCAAAAGGTTAGTATATTCACTCTCAGCTAACTATAAGGTGTAAGTCCTATATTTGGATGTATATTTGCTACAAAGTCAGAATGCATACAGTGACAGTGTGCTTACGGCAGGATGAATTACCCAATACCACCAAGTTGCAAGTAGGCCTACTACCTAATACCACCACATGTACAAAATACAATTGAATATGTTTGTGACTTATTAAGCCTCTGTCCTTTTGGGAATTTGACATTTTTGAGTCAACATATTTAAGGGATGTGAATCGGTCTAAGCCGATCCTGCAATTAATTAAAAACGCACTTTCGTATGTTTAGGCCTATGTCAATAATAAAAGAATGGTAAATAAAAAAAAGTACTGGTATTGGTAATACAATATTTACTTTAAATTTATCTAATTTCGATCTGAATGAATATTAAGCCCTACCACTATTATATCTTCGGTCCAAAATAAGTAAATCTACCTTGCGTAATGACTGTTTTAGCTGCATATGATCCGAGTTGTAAATAATATCTGTCATTTTAGTACTGTCGCTGTTTCCAGATTGTTGTCTGCTGCTTTTCTGCAGGTCGGACTTCTGTTTGCCTTCTTGACATAAAAATATACTTCGGCAAAGAGACAGGCGTTCGGCATTTTGACTTTTAAATATGTTACTTGCAAATGTCTTTGTTTGCAGCATTTTTGTCGGACTTTGGTCTCACGATTTATGACAACAAAACAAAAGTAGAAAACAGGGAAAAAAATTAAGGCTCAATTATCCAGACGTCTGTATCTTTATTCTTTAAAAATCATTCGTGACAACTAAGACATGAGAACGCTAGATCGAAGACGGTCCTGTCAATTTCAGCACATATGACGTCATATATTTGGGTTAGGGTAAGGGTTAGGACCTGCAGATAAAGTCTCCAGATGTAAACAGCGCTAACCCTAACCCAAGCCTAACCCTTGCCCTAACCCGCAATCCACATAATATGACGTTATATATATATATATATATATAATATATATATACTGAACTGAACAGTCTCCCAATCTAGCGTTCTCCACAAAGACAGTTAGTACTAACGGTTAAGGCTAGCTCAATTTTTCGTCAAGGGTTACGAGATGTAAACAGGGGGCTAGCGCTAATCCCAGCCCTAACCCTGGACCTAGCCCCAATGCTTACCCTAACCCAAACCTACAATCTCGCCAACAATCACGTGCCTTAACCTTATTTACACCTCAGCGACCTTGACAAAAATTGAGCTGGTCTTAACAAATAGATTTAGCCAATGACGTCTTTACTCATTGGATTTAGCCCACAAAATTAGAGTTACCTACCTTGAACTATCGAAGGACAGACCACAGAACTAATAAGTAATACATGTACAGTTTAGTATTTATTTAGTTTATCTAGTTCTATGGACAGACCAAGCAAGCGAACAGCACAACAAGAACAAGATGAACATAAATCATTTTTAACACGTTTAGATACATATTATTCAAAGAAAATTTAAATATATTTTGCGCTTTAAAATTAACAACACACGGAAGAATAACAGATTTTTTCAAGAATGAACAATTTAGTTTGAATTACTAGAAATTAAAAAAAAACAATAAAAAACAAACTCCTACTAAATAAATTAACGAACATAAATATTTTCAAGGATCGATCTTGAATAAATGCTTTGACAAGCATAATTAAATTTGATTAATGTCACACATCTTTGGTACCATTAATTTTATGTTATAATTTCTTTGTATGCAATTACTTCATAAAAAAAAACTCAACCTACGCAGCCTAATCATTGCGATCGGCTAAATCTATTTGTTAAGGCCAGCTCAATTTTTGTAATGGTCGTTGAGATGTAAATAAGGTTAGGACACGTGGTTGTTGGCGTGATTGTAACTTAGATTTAGGGTAAGCATTGGGGCTAGGTCCAGGGTTAGGTTTAAGAATTTGGGGGAGAGGTTAAGTCTCCACATAGGCACTGACCTAGGATGATGAAAAATTAGTTCATGATATTTCCTAGTTTTATTAAAAATACATACAATACATTAGATTTATATACAAAGGCGATTTCACTGTTTATTGCATGCATGGTGTTGGTGGCGCAGATGGTCTTCCTTGGGTGGTGCTTCTGGTATTCTGGTATTATTGTTTCTGAAGAAAAAAGAAAATAAATTTGAGGCTCTCGGGAGAGAGCCACATTAGTGTGTTTCTTACTACGGATTGGATTTTCTAAAAAATCGTGTTTGTTCCACGTCACCGGGTTAGGGCTAGGGATTCTTATATCTAATTGATTTTATTTACTAATGGTTAGGGATAGGATTTGATATATGGTTTGTTTTGGGTCAGGGTGGAGACTGGTCTTATTTAATCTAATTTACTGTGCACTAGGATGTCGTTCAGATTTTTATTTTTAGAATATGCAATTATAAGTTTCTGTGTGAATATTTTCGGGTGATTTTCTTGGAGATCAGTATAGTGTTTTCTGATGATTTCGGATGCACTTGCTGCTGTTGCGCTAAATGGAACTACAAAAGGAGCTATTGCGCTAGCCGTATGAATATTCAAACCTAGGGGGGCTGTTGTTTTCAATTTGTCAATCCAGAATTTTTCTCTAGTTAGCCTAAACGTTTTAATTTCTTCTGAAGTTTCAAAGTCGCTCTTGGTCTTTTCTATTGGCGTCGACAATGAGATCAGAAATGTCATGATTCGGTTGGTTGAAATGAATTGAGACAGGTTTGTCTTTTTTGGTGACTATGTCTGACCGGTGACCGTTAATTCTTTCCCTAAGTGCATTTTGAGTCTCCCCTACGTATGGCTTGTCACATTTTCTGCATGAAATTAGATAAATTATGTTCGAACTACTGCATGAAAGTTGGTCTAATATTGGGAATTTTGTGCCAGATGTTTTGTTATGGAAATGGTCGGATATGTTTAAGATTTTGCATGTTTGACATCTTGGATGGCCACAAATTTTGGTTTTGACTGCTGATTGTATATTATTTGTTTCTTTGGCGGCAAGCTCAGCGAGAGTGTTGTTTTTTATACGTCGTAGATAGCGTTTGGAGTATCCCCTTTCCCTTAGTTTGCTAAATACAAATGTACATGCTGACTCAAAGTCGTTCTTCTGAGTACATATCCTATGAAAACGGAGAATCTGAGATTTTATGATGCCAGAGAATGTATGTTTTGGGTGAAAGGAGCTTTTGAACAATAATTGATGTGTGTCGGTTTCTTTGAAAAATACTTTAGTTTCCAATTGGTCTGTGATTTTGGTGTTGCTACTTTTAAACACGGTAGTATCAAGGAAATCTATGCTGTTACGGCTTACATTTGCGGTTAATTTGACAGATGGATGATGATTGTTCAGAATGTTGAAAAACGTTAAAAATTCGTCTAGTGTGTACGTCCAGACTATGAAAACGTCATCTAAAAACCGCCCATAGAAATCTGGTTTTAATGGACAGAGTGGCAGAACTTCCCTTTCCCACTCCGCCATGAAGAGATTTGCATAACTCGGGGCAAATCGTTTTCCCATCGCAGTTCCGAAAGACTGAAGGTATACTTGGTCGTTAAAAGCGAAGTCATTCCTCCTCAGACAAATGTCGAGTAGTTTGAGGATTTCTTCGTCCGGCCTGGATGCTTGCGGGTTCCTAAGAAATGCTTTCCTAACTGCTTCAATACCTGTGTTATTATCAATGTTCGTGTACATGCTTTGTACGTCGATGGATATTAAAATGGTGTGTTCGGGGACTCTTAACTGTTTGATTTTCTGAATGAAATCGTTAGTGTCTTTAAGGAAGGATGGGTGTTGGCATGCTAGGGGTAATAAGAAATGGTCTATATATTGTGATACGTTGTATGATTCGCTGCCACAGTCTGATATTATTGGGCGTCTCTTGGGTATTTTATTAGGTATAAACCATTCTGTTTCTGGATTTTTATGTATTTTTGGTAGTGTATAGAGATGTCTTTGTCGGCAGTCAGATTTAGCAGATAGATAATCATATTGTTTTGCTGTTATGTATTCCTTATCCTGCAATTCATATAAGATGTTGTTTATTAAAGTTGCGGTGTCCTTAAAGATGGGTTGGTCTAATTTAGTGTAATGTATAGGATTACTTAATTGTTTTTCTGCCTCTGAGATATAGTCTGCGCGATTCATTATGACACAACACGAGCCTTTGTCGCTTTTCTTAATTATTATGTTTTTGTCTTTTTTAAGGGTGTTTAATGCCGTTTTAGTTGCTCGTGGATGTTATTGTGGGAGTTGGGATGAATTTAAGGCCTTTATCAAGAATGATCATTTCTAGGGGGTTGAGAAGTCTGTCGCTCAAATTGACAACTGTCTGTCCTAAAGACGGCTTCTCATTCCTTTTCCCTAATCCTAGTTTAAATTCCTCATCCAGCAGTTGATGATCTCTCTGGCCGTGTCTGGGCTCCAGTGGATTGCGTCGTTACCTTTCAGTTCTATTTTGCCCTTAAAGGTTGGTAATGTTGTGGCGTTTGGTGAAGGTGCAGTGGAGATCATTTGGTTGTAGCTGGTGATGTTTTGGTAGGCGATCGGATTTTCTTGTCGGAGTCGGGAAGAAGTGGGGATCTGTATGGTGAAGAGCTTGGTTGTTGGGAAAGCTGCTCTGAGAATTTCGATCTATATAACGCCATTGCATAATAATAAGGAAGAAAAAAAAGCAGTAAAATGACAAATATTAATTTTAATAATTATACCGAATAAATGCTTTGACAAACATACTTAAATTTGAATAATGTCACATATCTTTTGTTATCATTTTTGTTACAATCTATACTCCTTTGCGTCGATTTCTTCATAAAAGACGCACCGATATCCAGGGCCGGATTAACATTGTAGGGACCCCACGACAGATCGATTGGGTTTGGGGCCGATTTAACAAAACAAAACAAAAATCAAAAGTGTAAGGCCCAGAACATTTTGAAAAATAAATTCGATTTCGTGCATTTTGAGGCATATTCTGGATGAAAATGAAATGAAATGAAATATAGTTAAACGTCCTATTGTTTTGCTTCGAACTGGGCTAATGAAGACGGGCATACGCCATACAGTGTTCTATCAGGGAAATTTTGCCCGGACAGCGACACTACGACCTACTCTTATATCGAATCCCAACTGTCAAAGGATCTTTTACGTACACGCCTATGTGTACACGGGACCTCGGTTTTTCGTCCCATCCGAACGACCAGATAGCTGTCTTTGTCAGGCCCTATTCTGGATGAGTGACACAAATTAAAAAGAATAGAAATATTGGACATTGTTCCATTGATTAGAAAAAAAGTTTCAAACTGTAATCAATGTACGAATCCCAGCCGGTCCATTATAAAGACAAGTAGACACATATCAAAGGTTATATGAGACAGGGGCGTGGTGACCCATGATTTTGCATGAGGAACAAGATCCCGTCCGGGCCCCCCAAAAAACAATATTTATATGTGTGTGCGGGGGAGGGGTTTCAGTGCTGACGGGTGATATTGGGCTGTGTGGAAATGCTAGAGTCGATTTGTGGCATATCTGACGGTAGGCCGATATGTTTGATACTGGTTAAGCATTATGATTATGATTATAATGTTTAAAACCGCATTGAAACCGTGTGATTTTTGTCATTTTCAAATCTGTATTCGTAGTCATCCAATGCTGGGACTTTTAATCTTGTACCCAACCCAAAATGCGTGTGTGTCTGTGTGTGTGGCGTGGGAGGGGGCTCCCAAAGGTGGGGACTCGGGACATCTGTCCCACTTTGCCCTCCCTAGATCCGGTACTAATAAATGTTGGCGCTGTTAAGCATATATATCGTAATATACACTTACTGGCTTACAGGCGATTGGCTTAACGGTAACTTTTGCGTTACATCTGGAAATACAACCATAAATGGATCGGCAAGGTTTTTCGTCGCGTTGGCTTATCGGTGTCTTTCTGGAAGCACAACGATCTAAATGGAGGTGCCTGGCCACCATAATAAACATCAATATTTTAAAGGACAAAATTATTGTATTGCCCTCCTGTAATCTATCGCTGGATCACTAACCATATAAGAAGGTTGGCCTATAGCGTGATTTCCCCCAGTTAGGATGAAGTACGAAGCCTAGCTCTGACAGGGAACGAGGTCTTTTTCGTCGGAATGGGCAAAAAACCGAGGGCCCGTGTGCGTAAGGGAACCCTTGACTTTTAA